CAGGAGACAACGTCTAGGCGAGTTGCCCTGGCAATGGAAGTCTAGGAACAAGTCGTGGAACGAAGAGGGGGGGAAACCGTCGAACCGAAGCTCTGGAACATTCCGAGCAGGCAGGAGTCTGCCGTACATGGGGGCTCTTGGGGCTGGCTCGGGAGCCCTCGTGCCCCTCTCGAGGCTGTATTTGGCGGTCTTGGAACCATGTTGAGGCCGCATAAGCCGATCGGACTCGAAATGGCGAGATGGCCAACATATTGTTTTTTTAGGGACAAGCGATAACCCGGATTATCGGGCTTGCGCCCCCCCCCCCCCCCAGGATAACCTTACCTTGCCGGTTGTGCAGGTCCAGGGTGTGCGGGGGTGGGGGTGGGGGGCGCGGGCATATGCAGGGCTGCCCGCAGCGCGGAGGTTAGGTTATCGGCCGGTTCCTCCTCCTCCTCCTCCTCCTCCTCCTCCTCCTCCTCCTCCTCCTCCTCCTCCTCCTCCTCTCCTCCTCCTCTTCCTCCTCTTCCTCCTCCTCCTCTTCCTCTTCTCCTCCTCCTCGTCCTCGTCCCCCTCCTCGTCCTCCTCCTCCTCCTCCGCCTCCTCCTCCTCGTCCTCCTCTCCCTCCCCCCCCCCTGGATAACCCGGGTTATCGCCGATCGGCGATAAGGCGAGATCGAGATGGCGAGAAGGCCAACTATGGCTAGAAGGCCAACGCACGATGTGTTTGAACGTGTTTTTGGCATCTCTGGGGTATTCTTGGGAGGCCCAGTGGCAATTTGGAACGGTCGTGGAGCAGCAAAAGACCACATCGAACCATATTCGGCTGTGTGATGCTATCTTGGGGGCCATATTGGGCTATCTGGGACCATCTCGGGGCCATTTTGGGTCATCTTGGATGTTCTAGCCCCTCGAGACCGCCGCTGTCCAAACCCAGTCGAGGGACTTCCCCTGACATGGCTGTTTAACCCCTCCAATCGACCAGCGGCCATGACACTGGCGTGCCCCGCGTCCTTCCAAGACGGTCCTAGAGGGTCCCGAGACGGCCGAACACGGCCAGACAAGGCAAGGCAAGGCCAGACAAGCCAATCTGAGACAAAACGATACAACACATGCCACGGTAGCATCCGGGTCGGCCTAATATAGCCCCTAGAGTGCGCCCGAGAGGCCAACATCTTTGTCAAGCCGAATGGTCGTTTTTTCTATTGGCCTTCTCGCCGTTGGGGCCCCCCAGGGCGCTTGAGGCTTCAAGGTGGCACCGAACGAGCCGCAATAAAGTCCCCAAGGAGAGCCCAGGAGGGGCCCAAGATAGCCCCAGAGGCCCCCAATGTGGCCACGGGCCACGCAGGCCCCCAAAGGGTCCCACGCCAGGCCAAATCTCGCAAAGGCCAGCTGCATGTCGCGTTCTGGGCGCCGAAACGGCCCCGAGAACCAGAGGCCCCCCAAAGGCCCCACAAAGGCCCTCAGGAGACCCAAAGGCCCCCCAGAAGGCTTCGCTAGGCAGGGCCGGGGGGGTGGGGGAAGCGAAGAGTTCGGACGCGGGGTAGTGGTAAAGGAAATGGAGCACCTTCCCCCGAAGAGGAAGAACGGGTCGGAAAACTGAACCACCTACGTCCAGAGAGTTTAGGGGATTGTAAGGCAGGCGATTTGTAGTTCTTCGGACAGTGCAGCTACGGGCAATTGTATTTGTGAAAGTCGCGGTGTTGGTAGCAGTGTTCGTACTAGTAGTCGTGGTCGTAGTGGTTACTAGAACTAGTGCCCATGTCTTAGGAGGAGGATGAGGAGGAGCAGGATGAGGAGGAACAGGAGGAGGACTGGGGTGAGGAACAGGGGGTGAAGGAGGCGGAGGATGAGGAGGGGGAGGAGGAGGAGGAGGAGGAGGAGGAGGAGGAGGAGGAGGAGGATGAAGATGAAGAAGTTGTGTAGGATGGCGATGCGAAGGAGGATGAAGAGCAGGAGGAAGAGGAGGAGGAGGAAGAGGAGGAGGAGGAGGTGCTAGGGCGAGAGCCACGTTTTGAGAACGACTCGCCCTCAATCCGTGAAACCCTTGCAAGTTTTTGAAGCGAATGTGCGCAGCGCTAGGGCGAGAGCCACATTTTGAAAACCACCCGCCCTCAATCCGTGAAGCTCTTTCAAGTTTTTACAGCGACTGTGCGCGGCGCGAAGGCGAGAGCCACATTTTGGAAGCCACCCGCTCTCCATCTGTGAAACGGTTGTCAAGTTTTAGAACGAATGTGCGCGGCGCGAAGGCGAGAACCACATTTTGAAACCCACCCACCCTCCATTTGTGAAGTCGGAGGAGGAGTACGTAGGAGAATGAACCGGACGACGAGGAGGATGGACACGTTTTGCAGGACAACGGGAAGAGGAAGAGGCACAACGATGCGGGAGGAGAAGGAGAAAGTGCTCCTCCCTTGCCAGCGCATTCGGCCGTGCGGCTGCGCTGAGGCCCCCGAGCAACGCCTCCAACGCTTCAAAGGATGCGTCCAACGCCTCCAGCGCCTCCAACGCCTCCACGGAGGATCGGGCCCGCCGACGTTGATCTCTCTCTCTCTCTTTCTCTCTTTTTTTTTTGTTCTTCTCTCTCTCACTCTCTCCCTCTTCTATATATATATATATATGTTAGCAGTACTGGTACTAACACTGTTCCTGTTACTGAAACTATTGCGCATATTATAATTGTGTTTATCATTTTCATTCTTATTACCAGTAGCAGCATTCTTAGGTTTAGCGTTGTTAGTGTTATGGTTGTCGGTATTGTCATTGTTATGTCTAGTGCTAACTTATTTTCATTGCACACTTATCTTTTGCAGTATTGACGTTATCAGTGTTCTTTTTTAGCAATCTCAGTTTGAATTTAGTTTCAACGATTGTTGTTATTCGTATTGTTGTTTTGTTGTTTTCGCTAGAGTATTATCATTATTGCTAGTATTATTGTTATTATCATGGATAATACTATTCTCATTATTCGTATTGCGATTCTTGTTTGTATTTGTACACATGCAAAGGGCTTCGCCCTCTGCCGCCAGCCCCCTTCATGTTGCTTGCGTGGCCACGCTGGGCCGCTAGATTGGTAGGGTTTCTTGCCGATTGGCTAGCTGGGTGGCAACTCGGCTGATTGGCTCGTTGTGTGAATCGATGGTTGATAGTCGGTTTCGGCCGTTTGCTGGCTGGCTGGTTGCGCGCGCCTGTAGTCCTTCCTGAGGGACGTTGGCCTCGGGAGCGTGCTTCCAGGGTCATTTTCGAGGGTCCGAGGCTTCGGGAGCGCGCGCCTCCAGCTATCGACGAGGATTCGTGGCCTCGAGCCCCGAGCCGAATGCTCAGGAAACGACGGGGGGCCGAGACGCGTCCCCCGAGCACACATCCCACGGCAGACGTCGGCCAGCGTGAGCCCCCCTTCAGTAGGCTGTTGCGCAGTGGATGTGCAGGCTGTGCGGTGCAAGCTACTCCAGATTTCGTAATAAAGGGAGGGGGGTCTCATTTCGGGGGGGGGTCTCTTCCAGGCTATCCTGGAGGGCCTGGGGGGGTCTAGGGACGATGTTTTGGAGGGTTCTCCCACGGGGGGGGTCTGAAATGGCTTGTCTTGGAGGGTTGAGACCCCCTCCCTTTTATTACGAGATCTGGAGTAGGTGGTGCAGGTGCAAGCTAGAGGCGGCCACGGAGAGGCCACGGGCAGCAGCGCGGCGAGACAATCACGATCGATGACGCAGCCCGTGCTTTCCTATGATTTGGGCCACTCGGGGACGTCCTCGGGAGACTTCAGGACCACCTCAGAGCCACCTTGTGGCCTCCCGAAGGCACGCTGGAGGCCATCTTGGGCCAACTTAGGCCATCATGCGCAATCTTGGAAGGCAACCTGGGGTCGTCTTGGAGCCATCCAGGGTCTTCTTGGACGTTTCAACTTCTCGCCCCCCCCTCAGTCCAGACCGCTGGGACCCCCTCCCCGACGGGGAAGCAGGGACTGCTTCGGACAAACTGGCGTTCACGCAACTCATGCCTAGAAGGCGGGTGGAATCCTGGACATCCCAAACGACCACTAGGCGAGTTCTATGCACCAGGGAAGTGTATAGCACCATGCAGTGGAACAAAAGGGGATCTGCCGTAACCTTTGGAAAGAAAAGAGGAAGGAGGAGGAAATTCAGGAGGAGGAGGAGGGAGGGATGGAGGGAGGGAGGCTGCGAGGAGGAGACGGAATGGGTGACGAGGTGGGATGATGATGATGCTGCTGATGATGATGATGATGATGCTGATGATGATGCTGATGATGATGATGCTGCTGCTGATGATGATGATGCTGATGCTGATGATGATGATGATGATGATGATGATGATGATGATGATGATGATGATGATGATGATGATGATGATGATGATGATGATGATGATGATGATGATGATGATGATGATGATGATGATGATGATGATGATGATGATGATGATGAGGAGGAGGGGAGGAGGAGGAGGAGGAGGAGGAGGAGGAGGAGGAGGTCAGCAGCTTTGACTCGGTTGCGTGGCCCGTGGTCCACTCCTGGCTCCCTCGTGCAGGTCGAGCGTCAGTTTCCGCTTCGGCTGCCAGCTCAGCCACTGGTCCGTGGTCCCCTCCGGGCTCTTTCGTACGGGTCAGGTGTGGTGACTACACCGTGTGGTGAGTCGGTGCGGACTCGGGGTCTCCGCACGGTTTTGGGACTCGAGTCCCTCTCCGAGAATGCCTCGGGCGACAGGGGCCTCCAGGGTCCCAAGACCTTGCGGTGACGGGCCGTGCGGTCAGGTCTCTCGGGGTTCCGAGGTCACCGCACAGTCTGTCACCACACGGTTTTGGGATCCCCAAGTTCGATATTCGATTCGGTGGCCCGTGGCCATCTCCTGGCTCTCCCTTGCGGATTGGGCGATCAGCTTTCGATTCGATCAGGCGGAGGGCTCGCGTGTGGTTGCCCAATTTTTGGCGGGCCGCTTCGGCCCTCTGCAAGGCGAAGGTGATGCCGCATCACTGCTGCTTGCTCGGCGCGGAGATCCCTTAGGGCTTGACGACTTTTCTCCACTAGACTTGCGGGGATCAAGCCAGCCTGGCTCGAGCCAGTACAGGATCTTCTGCAGCGGAACTTTGACCTTCAGCCTTCGGCATTTCAAGTTTGTGCCCGTGCGCTTGCGATTCTGGGCGATGACGCTGGCTTCCAACGCGCCCCTGTTACGCCGCAGCCATTGCTGTATTCAACTTCGGGTGCGAGTCCAGGGGGTAAGGGAGAGAGAGCAGGCCTTCTCAGAAGGCTCGGAAGGCCTCGGGTCTTCTAAGCCTTCTCCGAAGACAGAGATGGCTTCTCAGATGGCCGGATGGCTTCTGAGAAGCCCCGCCGCCTTTGAGAAGGCTTGCCCCCTCTTATTGCCCCCCTGGGTTCGCTGCCGACAGTTCTCAGTCCTCGCCCGCCCCCTCGTCGGAGTGTCGAAGGATTGCAGTCTTTCGCGTGTCTGGATCGTGCGCTGCTCCGCGGCGGATCGGCGCGCCTGCCGTCCTAATTGGACTAGCTGCGTCCATCGCTAAAAGCGGGAGTGAACTGGAATTTTTCTCCCATTCGAACAAACCGAATCGGAGCAATGTCGCCACGAGGGGGGCACGGGCCGCTTGCCGGGGGCAAGCCCCCGCACCTCACGAGGCGGCCATGAGCAGCGGAACCGAACGACAGCATTGCACCGCGAGAGGCAGCCACGAGGTGGCCACGGTCCACGGAATCGAAAGTGGAACGTCAAGCCTGCGCGAGGGAGCCGGGAGCGCCTGGGAGCGCCTGGGAGCGCCTGGGAGCGCCTGGGAGCGCCTGGGAGCGCCTGGGAGCGCCTTGGAGCCGGGGAGGGCCGGGGTGCGCTTGGAAGCGCCTGGAAGCGCTAAGAAGCGCCTGAGAGCGTGAGAGCCGTGAAACTGCCAGAATGTGTCCAAACCGGCCAACATCTTCCCCAATTTGCCAACATCTACCAACATTCGTGCACACTGGCCAAAATCGATCAGAATCTGCTAGAGTTTTCAGCAAAATCGGCCGCGGGCCACCGAAAGCGGAACGACGCTTCCCACGAGGGAGAGCCAAAGGAGTGCCACGGGCAACAGGCCACACGCAGCACGATCGCGGGGTGGACGCCAAGGCTTCATTTAAGTCGGGCCTGTCCCTCTACAGGGGGAATGTTCAAAAATAGTTAAAACAATAGCCCGGGGGCGATTTTGTTGACTATTTTTAGCCATTTGGGAGTATTATTCGACTTTTTTTTCAGTTTTTTGTCCAACATCCCCCTGTAGGGGGACGTGCCCGACCGAAGGCTTCATGAGGGAGGCACGAAGGGACCAGATGGGACACGGGCGGGCAGCTCGAAAGTTGCACGCCACCCCGCACGAGGAAGCCTCACTGGTTCGTCGCGGAGTCGGCGGCGCTCGGTGCGGGCGCCCGCGCGGGCGCCCCCGACAGACCCGCGCCGCGGCCTCTGCGGAAAGCCACGATGAGGGCCACGGGCCTGCTCAGAAGTGGAACGCCGCCCGTGCGTGCGGCCCACGGGCCGTGGGCACCATGGGGGGAACCAGGCGGGGGCCACCTGTCAGAAGCCAGGCGAAGGCTGGCAAACCCGTGGCTGCTAAAACAGAGCTCGGGGAACTTTTTCGTTTTTTCTTTTTTTCTTCCGTCGTGCGCTGAACTCGATCCGGGGAAGTTGTTCTGTTCTTCCGGGAGGGCCGTTTTGGCAGCCACGGATTTGCCAGCTCGCCAGGCCCCTGGCAGCCGAACCGTCGGTCGAGGAGCGCCGCCCCGCACGCGAGAGTTGCGAGGGCCGCCGCGGGACCACGGGCAGCTGAGGCCAGCGGATGAGCGCGACCTCCTCGCGACGGAGCCGGGAGGAGGTCGCTGGCCACGGGCTATGGGCCCACGAGCCGCAGGTTGAACGCCACCTGGCCGGAGGAATGGAGACGTGTGGGGGCCACGGTGGGGCCACGGGCAGCGTACTCGAGCGGAGCGTTCGATCCGCACGGGGGAGCCACGAGTGGGGCGCGGGCCGGGGGGCTGCGTGCACCGAGGAGAAACCTGGACGCCACCGCGCACGAGGGAGCCGCGAGGTGGCTATGGCTACGGGCCACGGGCAGCCGACGAGAGGCCAACGACGACGGCATGGGCCGAGGGCCACCAAGCCACAACTTGAGGGGGCCACTGACCATGCGCCACGGGCCACCGGGTCGTCGCTTGACTGCCCAGCCCGCGCAAGGACAACAGGAAAGTGCCATGGACGACGAGCCCATGAGCCACGGGTGACCGAGTCGAGAGAGCCCATCTTCCATGCGGGAGCCACCAGGTGGCCATGGGACACAGGCGGTGAGGGCGGGCCACCGAATCAAAACTGCCTGGCAAAAACCTGTTGGACCCACCCAGCGCACGAGGCGGCCACGAGGCGGCCACAGGCGGCATCGTGGCGAAACCTCGTCGGACCCGCTAAGCACATGAAGCGGCCACGAGGTGGCCCTGGGCGGCAGCGTGGCGAGACCTCGCCAGACCCACCCAG